GGGAGGGTGGGGGTAAGGGGGAGAGATCAACCATAAGGACTTATATGCAAGCATATAGGCCTAACCAATGGACACAGACAACAGGGGGTGAGGGCATGAGTGGGGGGGGGGTAATATGGGGATAAGGACACATATGTAATAACTTAATCAATAAAAAAAAATGCTATCTGGGTTCCACACGGTGGTCTTGGAATAAAACTGTACATCTGTATTTTTTTTAAGTTCCGCAGTTGATTTTGATGCAGAGGACTAGTTGAGGACCACTACTTTACACTAAACTCCTTAGGGCAACCGGTTAGAGGGCTGGAAGCAAGACCATCACAAGTTCTGGAACAGCAGCAGCCCAAGAGGTCCTGACCTGGCACCAAGTGGTGATGTGGACACAACTCTGAGGCTCCTTCAAGTTTCTCCAGCTGAACACAAGGAACCCACCAGCTCCCATGAAGCAGTGTGGGTTTCAGCAGAGGGACACACTACTCCCAACTCAATATTTCACTGTTTTAAATAAAAAGGGGAAATGGAGAGGAAGGGAAAGGCAGAGCTCCTTCTGAAAGGTTGGAAGTTCCTTTGGGCTGCAAGGTGAGGGGGCTCAATCTTTCAGGCTGATTTAATAAAATGAAGAAGACAGTGATAGACAGTTTTATTTATTTCATTCCAAATGGTTTCCTTTGTATTTAATTTGCTGTTTTTATTAGAATTTAACACCTGAAATGGAATGAAAAAAATGTAATTTAAACATTAAAATTAGTTATTTCTTTACAACTCAAATATATCTGTCTGTATTTTCTACATAGTGGTTTTAAATATTTAAAAATGTTGTTCAAGTAGAAGGAATTTACATTGACTATTTCACATCCTCAATGTGGAGCCATGTATTTATACCCTATCTGTGTAATCACAGTGACCAATTACCCTGGTTTTCCCTGGGCTGAGAGAGTTTAGTTTCAAAATGGGGCCATCCTGGGCAAACCCAGCTTGATGGATGATCCCCCTTGATTATGTATTCATTCATTTGAGCAGCTGTGTTTTCCTGTTATTCATGCCTTTGAGTAGGCCTCAACAACTCTTATTCACTATAATTTTTTTTTGCATCAGTAAGTAATATGAATATTTCTGAAGACTGAATGGGCCAAGTAGATGGTAGGGTTGACAAAGTATACCTCTCAGTGTTCCACTGAGAGTATTCTCTTTGGTTCTATCTTATTACCCATCTCCCTTTTAGGCTGCAATCACCCAGAGTTGGAACCTCCAAGCCCCTCCGTCGGTTTCCTTTCTTACACAGGAAAATTTTGGTCTCTCTTAGTTTCCTTCTTCAGACTTCTTTTGCACTTCATCAATCCGTGATACTGTCTTCAAATAAGTGAAATTTTGAAGACTTAATTATCTCTCAGAAAGGAAATAATATTTTACTTCCCAATTTCCAGAACAGTGAGGCATTACTAATAATAAACTATTCTTGTTTAGCTAAGTTATATATGTACATACATTCATACCTACATCTGCCTATCTTACTATATATTCAGATATAAACACTTATTAGTATTTTTCAAGTTTTTGCTTTGATAAACAGTTCATACTTTGTACACAATTCTCAGTTTATGAAATTGACGACAAAAACCCACTATGATTCCCTGAAACATTAAAAATTAGATGTAATAAACTGTTGCGAATGTAAGGGAAACTCCTGCTTTACACATTGGATGATGTGGCATAATGTGTGTTCCTTTCCTTAATCTTATCAGTTCCACCAACCTTTTCCTGTGCTCCTTCCCACAGTAATTATTGGTGCATGAACATTTTGTTCTCATTTAATAGTGACTCGCCATTCATATTTACCCTCTGTGAAGAGGTCCGTTTGCCAGATGATATATAAATGATTCATTCACACCAGTGTTCTAAGTTCAAACCAAGGAAGACTGTGGGTGTACATAAAATGTTTGTCAGAGGGTTGTTGTTTTTTCTCTTGGAAAAGCCTATTAGGAATCTTATTTTTATTTCTATCCATAGCAGTGGGGAAAGTGTTGACTGAAAAGATTGGTTATCATATAACACAGTAATTTTTCAATTATCCTCTTTAGAGAAGTGAAAAGAACATTATCAGGTTGAACAATCAATTAAGCTAAAATAGCAATTAAAATTTCACAGTGATTTTTCTTCTTCCTCTTTTACAATATTCCTTAAGCATCTTTGTCAGTAGCCACTCATTATTCTTGCTAAAACCAACAGAATTGGCACAGATGTGAAAAATAAAACAGATAAGAATTATCATTTTAAGCAGCTATTTGGTGTTAGCTGGGGATTTATGGTTTTTAATTTAATCTTTACAGTAATTTTTGTTTCAAAAAAAGCTTCATTGAGATATAATTCACATACCATTACAACAACTATTTAAAGTAGATATTTTATATTCTGTTGGTGAGAAAAGTGATACTCAGACCAGTGAATTCATTTGTCAGCTTTGCTTTGAACCCATATCCGTCTAATTTCAAAGCCTGCATTCTTCCTACTGTACCTCGGGGCCTCCTTTGTTACTCTTGTCCCAAGAAATAATGTCAATAGCTGCTAAAATGCTCTCTGAAGAGTGGGGATAGTCCTTGTTTGGTAGGATATATAATTCTAGGGGAGCATGAGGCTGGAGACCACTTTATTTCACTCTCAGTGAGTTAAATGTTTCATTATTTTTGCTTCAAAGTCTTAAAATCTAAGCTATTATTACTTGTGACATGAAATAGCATCAGAGTTTTAAAATATCTCATATTTTACTCTTATAGAATTCGTGGAATGGGTAGAACTAGTTATTCTCATATCCTCCTTCTTAAGAAGTTCTGATCAGGAGATGAGAGTTTGATTTCTGAACCTGCTACCTTGGGCGATTCATTTAGTCTTTCTGAAGCTCACTTTTGTCATCTGTAAAGTGAGCCTTCTTCATCTTTCTAATAATGCTTTTTGCTTTTCTCCATGAGCACTCATACTTGTAGTCATTTCCCTTGGGTCTGAAGGCTAAGGGTTTCCAACTCCATGAACCAGGACTGGCTACATAATTTGCAGTGCTCAGTGCAAAATGAAAATATGGGACTTCTTGTTAACCACAATATTAAGTATTTCAAGATGGCAACAGCAGACCATTACACAAGCATAAAGCCTCTGTGAGAATGCGACCCTGTATGACTGCACAGATCACATGTTCATGTTGTGGGCCCTGCTGTGAACTTGGTGAAGATCTCCTGGGATCATGAATGAGGCTTGATGTTCCCCGGCAATCAGCCCAAGGCATAGTCCCAAATCTTACTTCCTTTGGAAGGAAGGTCTGACCTATGCGTAGGAAGCGCAGTGTAGGTTTCAAAAGCTTGTTCTCTACAGTCTGGTATCTCTAAATTGAAACCATGGTCTGCTGCTTAACACCTATACAATCCTGGGCAAATGAATCCCTTAAACCTGATTTCTTTATCTTTAAAAGGGGAATAATGATAGAACAAACTTTTTAGAATTGTTGCAAATTATAAATGAGAAAATTCATGCATGGTATTGGGAATATAGGAAGCACTCAATAAAAGCCCTTATGATGGATTTTTTTGTTATTTTACAGCCCTGAAATATTCCTTTGTGAATCTGGTGAGAGTCCTTACATGTTCCCTTCCAGAATGAGGTTTCTGGGAAGGTTCTTTGGCTACATCATTAAGCTGGACATAAAATAATTTCTGATCTACTGTTTCTCTGTTTCTGATTGGTGCTCACTAATACGATGTTATCCTGCACAAATATTATAATTTTCCAAAATGTCAGTTCTGCCAGTGCTGGAAAGATCCTGAGTATGAAGGAAGTGATAGTTTGACATGCTGAAATTAACAAGATAACATATTGACAGGATGTTTTGAGTTACCAAGAGTGGAGGCATCATCAAAATTATTGTGCATTGCTAAAACAGCTTAGTGCACCAGGGTCCTTGGAGAATCTTATAAAGCCTTTTTTTAAAAAAGATAAGTGACTTCTGTAATTTTTTCCTGTTAGGTATTTTAAATCTTTAGTAATAATGACCAGTGATAAACTGGTGGTGGGTATATACACTACCAATCAGAAGATGCCCATCAGAAGATGCCCTAGCAGTGGTCGGCAAATTCATTAGTCAACAGAGCCAAATATCAACAGTACAACGATTGAAATTTCTTTTGAGAGCCAAATTTTTTAAACTTAAACTATATAGGTAGGTACATTGTTATTAACTTAATTAGGGTACTCCTAAGGCTTAGGAAGAGCCACACTCAAGGGGCCAAAGAGCCGCATGTGGCTCGCGAGCCGCCGTTTGCTGACCACGGCCTAGGGTAACATCCAATGAGACCATACACACCATGATCCAGTAAAAGCATCATACACACCAGGGAAGCATCATCAGTTGGTTATAGTTCCTTGTGATCCACTCAGGCAGTCACATATACAAGGGAATGCCAACCTATTTGGTTAGGTTTGGCCTTAAGGAAATGAAGGAATCCACCTCTCCAATAATTGCTCTTCTGACATTTTAGCATTTGCTGTCACCTATAAGAGTTATAGCCTGTGCCAGGCTGGTGTGGCTCAGTGGCTGAGCATCAACCTATGAACCAGGAGGTTACAGTTCGATTCTTGGTCAGGGCACATGCCTGGGTTGCAGGCTCGATCCCCAGTGGGGGGCATGCAGGAGGCAGCAGATCAATGATTCTCTCTCACCATTGATGTTTCTATCTCTCTCTCCCTCTTACTTCCTCTCTGAAATCAATAAACACATTTTAAAAAAGAGTTATAGCCTGCATGGAAGTACTTTTAATATTACATAGGTCAAGAGTTAAAAACAGTACAGATCATAGAAACATAAAGGAGATCTGAGGTATTCAAGGACCATTTGGAAATTACTTTGAACCTACTGGATAGCTTAAAATAGCAATTTTCACAATATACTAACCACCATAAACATGACTTCAAAAGAATACATTTTAAAGAAATAATTATATTAAACAGTATTGCTTCCCTGGTTATTATTTTGTAAACTCACGCCCCTCCCCGCCAAAATAAAATCTGAGATTTTTTGCTAATTTGTACACTTAGTGAATATTCTCAGTTATTTAAAGCCTAATTTAAACAGTAAACTAAATGAAAAGCAAAATTTTATTCATCTTTTTATGGAAAAAATAATGAATCATGTAGAATCAGAATAAGTTTGTTGTAAAAGGCACATTGTCAAGAATGTTGTCCCCAATTAAGTGAGTAGTAGACTGCTCTTTTACCACTTACTCATTCCAACAAAGACTGACTCATGCTTCTTTAGACAAAGTTTTAAACATTTCTATTTAGGACAACAGTTGCCACTGAGTATAAAGTCAATTGGGAGAAAACACAGGGAAATGATAAATGTGGTTGGCTATTTGCACCTGTGTAAACAAGCACTACCCTTCACAGGTGGGCCTTCTGGTCAAGGGCTTTCCTCTTATACCAGCTCTCCCTGTATTCATAGGAAAAAACCCAGATTTCGGATGAGGTCCTGTGAGGTGTGTGTGTGTGTGTGTGTGTGTGTGTGTGTGTGTGTGTACATAAAAAGATTGGGAGAAGGAGACTAGTGGGAGCAGCCAGAGAATAGGGAGAAATCCACTTAGCCAGGGAAAGAAATTAACATGGGGGTTTTCAAAATGTGGTGCTCAAACCATGGCCCCA